CCGCCCCGCCCAGACCGGAAGAGACAAGCCGCGGCGAAGCCGCGCGCGCGCGCGGTACGGGGACGCGCTCCGAGGGGACGGGGCTGGGAACCGTGTGATGGAGGGAAAGGAGAGTCAAAGTGGGGTGAAGGATCCTGGAGACGGGATGTCAGCTGGTGGGGTCGTGCACCTGTGAAGTGGAGGACGTGGGGCCCACCAGGGATGGGGTTCTGGAGGGAAGCCGGGTCTGGGAGGACGGTGAGGAGCTGGGGGACCAGAAAGTCGCTGCGGGGAGGAAGAGACTGCAAGAGGCCAAAGCTGCACCAGCATACAGACCTGAGGAGGTGGTGGAGGCAAGGGAACTGGAGAGGCCTAATGAGTAGGGGCGATGGAGGGAGAAAGGAGGGACCCGGATAGGGGTGGGGCACGGAGGCTGCCAGGTATAATTTAGCCAACACACCCAGCCTCCTTCCCCTGGAAGCCGAAGGCTCTGGACACACATTTAAAGTATTCGTAGCAAACATCTGCTAAGGAACCGTACCAGGAGCTAACAGGCCTCTGTCCAGTCCAGTTGGGAAGAGAGAGAAGAGGCTGTTTTATTAGATCATACTAAGCAGGCATTCAAAAGGATAAGGTAAAATGGGTGCCGTGACTCATGCCTGGAATACTACCTACTCTGGAGGCAGCGCCTGGGAGGATCAAGGTTGACGGACAAAAGGTTCCCTGACAAAAAGTTAGCAAGACCCCATCTCCTCAATAAAAGGGGCATCACTTGCAAGTGGCCCCGGTTACTGAGGAGGTTGCTGAAAATACAAGAATCACAGTCTGAGGCCAGCACCCCCAAGCATAAAAAAAAAATCCTGCCTGAAAAATAACTGAAGCAAAAAAAGGGTTCGAGCCAAGTGGTGTATAGCCTGCCTAGCCAACTCAAGCTGTGAGTGCAAACCATAGATAGATAAGATAGATAGATAGATAGATAGATAGATAGATAGATAGATAGATAGATAGATAGATAGATAGATAGATAGATAGATAGATAGATAGATAGATGCATGCATGCATGCATGCATGCATGCTATGGAACTTCCGTTACATAAATTCACACAACGCTGGTTTTGTGTTTTGGTTGTTGTTTTTTTTTTTGGGTCCGGTCGTAGGGTCTGAACTCTGGGCCTGGGCGCTGCCCCTCATCTCTTCAGCTTAAGGCTAGCGCTCTACCACTTTGAGCCACAGTGCCACTTCTGGCTTTTTTCTTTTTGCTTATGTGGTGCTGAGGAATCGAACCCAGGGCCTCATGCA